ATTTAATAGGTATGCTGACGCAGTGACAACATCTAGATGAAGAAGGCGATTAAGCGTGTAAACAAGGTGTTATTGAAATACTGCCTAACAACTAAACATTCGAACAGGCTATTATGTTAAATCCTATAATTATTTTTGGGTACCACACTTAATTATGAAACCAAATGTTTTAATTAATATAGCTTCGAAAAAATGGCCTCAAATAAGTTATCTGAAAATTATTTTGAACAGTCAAAAATGACCTGTAATATTCATTTGGTACAGTAGATCGTGTAACAAACTGCCACAAAGTTTTGTGTAACAGAAGTAGGTCAGTTGTTTAAATACCACGGAGTGATGTAATAATGTTTATCGATCAGAGAGTGCCATTTCTTATCAACAGCTGCTTCGAAATGTTCGCGCCATTTATAACCACCGTATCTATCTAAGGGATCTCTCGCGGAATTTGCTGATCTGTCAGATAAAGGTATCTCCTCGATTATCCTTTTTTATTTAATACAAAATAATGAATAAAACAGTGAGTATCCAAACGACTCTTTAAATCGAACAAAATTACGATCTTTCAAAAATATTTTAATACGAACAACCATACCAAGTTTTGTGTAATAGAAGTAGGTCAGCTAATTTTTAAACATGCCACTATATTGTGTATTTACCAAGGGGTGTGAAATAATGGCACACAATTGGAGTTTGATGAATATGTGAAAAAGATATCGTCAAAGATAGGGATGCAAGGCGGCTCCAGACAGCATTTCTGGGGGGACCATTGCCATTAGTCTTGCCCTTTTTAGTATATTTTTTAAATGAGAGGCTCATAGATTGTAAGAATTTTCATCTCAAGGGGGTCATGGCCCCCATACAGGCATGTCATACAGGCTATGGAGGAAATTTTTGCCTATATGGAGGGAAACACCGATTGTCAGTTCTCCCAAGATGAGATATTGGGTGCCGTAACAGGGCTGAGTTTGAAAGGAAATATGCACAATAAACAATGCCTATAAGAAATCCTGTCTCCTAAGGCTGGTCCAACATGATCAGACGACTACCACATGGTGGTGCCAGAGATGCATCACTTGAAGAAAATGGCTAGGAAATCCTTTAATAAGGCAAGAACCACAAAACTCGAAGAGGAATGGGATACTTACAAATCTCACCTCAGAGAATACAAAAAAACTCGTTGGACAAAAACAGAGAGATGTAGTATTCAAATAGTCTTCAGATAGAACACAGATATTGTAATAAAAACTGTAAGTGCATTTGTAATGTAATTGTTTTTCATTTAGCGGATTTTGTAAATGCGTTTAGTTATTGGCATTGCGTTGTTGCCGGTTTAATTTTTTCTCCAGATCTGGGGAAAAATTAAGCAAAGTGCTGCTATTACGAACACTCTTAAAATTGGTGTAACTGTTGACCAGTTGGAGATAAACTAGCACAGAACTTCCTAAGGAAATTTCTTTAGCAGAGGAATTGTTTAGACGATATAAAGTAATGTTTGATAAAAAATGTTAGGTAAAAATCTTTTTTTTTTTCGAAAATGTGTAGAGAATTTCATAGGCTTTCAGTTGATATTAGAAAATGTTTTCCTACGACCCACCATTTTCGAGATATGAGCGAAGAACCCATATTAGTAGTAATAGCAGCATTATACTCCATTAGGCCAGATTTTCCTCCAGATCTGAGGGAAAAAATTAAACCGGCAACACCATAATGTCATTGACTAAGCGTATGGAAACTTTAAGTAGTATTCAGACAGTACACAGATATTGTAATAAAAACAATTGGATTTTATAGATAGGCTCTGTCAATGGCATTACGTTGTTGCCGATTTAATTTTTTCCCCAGATCTAGGGAAAAATTTGGCCTAGTGGAGTATAGTGCTGCTATTACTACTCATGTTGGTATAGAGGATAACACTTTGAAAACATTACACCATTAGTATCTTCCTGCTAGTAAATAATATGAAAAATCGGTCATTCATGTCAATTCTATTAAAATATTCATTAGTGTCGCCCTTAAAAACAAAATTGACATATTGTCTTAATTTTCATATTATTTACTTGAAAAAAGATATTAAGGGTGTAATGTTTTCAAAGCCACGCCTTGTATAGGTAAGTTTGCTTAAATCACCTTATTTTAAGCCCATAAATCTATGGCAGCTCCATGTATACGCAATTTCCGGACTTTACTAATATTGAATCGTAGGAAATGGTTCAATATATGAGGCTGCTGGGGAAAATGTTCGGCAAGCAGAGCAACTGAACCGATACGAACAATTGAATGTTTCCGCGGAAATCCGAAAAGGTTCTGTAGCATATCTTAGAGAAACATTATTTTATTTCTGTTAAAAATGTACTAAAATACATTTAAGCTATGTTTCTGTCTTTTATAATTCATATTTACGCGTATTTCAATAACATCCTGTATAGCATTGAATTTGAGTAGATGGTAAATGGGAGAACAAAATGAAAAGGTCGTTGATCCTGTCATTATCAGCTATTGATTTAAGTTGTTTGAGGTTTTTTTTACAATTTACAATTCGTTTTAGAAACAGATAGACAGTATGCAACTGCTAAAGACCTCGCCATTTTGTTCTTTTAACTGCATGCTGCTAATACTAATCATAGAAATAACATTTTAATTAGAACTCCATGCACCACAGTGACCTTAAACGTTCTCTTGATACTTCTACTTTACCTTAACCTTTACTACAATGTTTTAGGTTAAATATATAAATCGGATTTTTAATACTAAACTTAAGAGCTACCTTATAGGAGATTCGATTCAATCAATTTTTATTTATTATAAAAAAAATAGTTATTTACTCATCAACACAGATATGGCTAGCCCTCCTCATCAAGAATAGAAAATGTTGTTAGTGCTACAGCTCCCCAAATCTGTGAACAATTCTCGAGATTAGGTACCATTTGGGGCTAATGCAGCTTCAGATCATATGAAGAGAAATATTATATTGCTCTGAATAGGAAATACAATGTCTTACCATCGATAGTGACAATGATTATGACAGACGATGTCTTAAGGTCCATATTTATAAACCGTACTTGAACATTGAAGTAAAATGAAGTCAGTAACAAGTCCGTAAAATGATTCTACATTAGAGTTTATAAATATGGATCTAAGAGAAGCGCAGTTATGCATGTACAGTACCAAACTCTGTATATAACCTCAAATTCGTAAATATCAAATATTCAGAGGTAGACAACAGCTAAGCGTCTACAGTGCTAAGGGTAGATATAGAAGGGGGAAAGGTTGATTTTAAGTGACAGATGATTGTAATGAGGAATACCTTCTAAGAAAAATAGACATACAAAATAACACATTGACAATATACATTAAACCTTAGAAACAAAGTTCATAGTGTAAATACTCTTTAGGCAAATTTACTACATTAGTTCACTACAATGATATGATTTATAAAGTAACAGATGGTCTTCGAAGACAATCATAATGGATAATTGGAGGGAATTGATTTACAGATGGTGTATTTGACATTGACAAATGCCTTAAAGTGACAACAGGTTTTAAAGAGCTGATGTAGTGTGGTTACTGATAAAAATAGTCAAAAGAACACTATCGACTAACTTCGTTATTACTGAATCGATTCGAACAGGGAAAACGATACTCAATGTAAAATGATATATAGCTCTTAAGCTTAATATACGTTTTGAATAAAACAGTAGCGAGGCAAATGAATTTAGGCCTAAAACGCTAAACGATGCCATGAAAACGAAGAAAACGTCAAAATCACGACTTACCTCCCATGTGCTGCGAATCCACTAAGGCAATGAGATTATTAGAGGCCATCAAATTATTATTAAGCAACGTTTGCGTGGTGTCCATCGACACCTCGCCCAGGCCGTTCACCGACATACCATTCACCATGTTGACGGCGTTCCTCACGCCCTGCGCGTCCAATTGGCTCCAGTAGCTTTCGCTAGGCGACACGTTAGACACTCCTGAAATTATCAGTAGGTTTTTCCTTACATTCCCCCCTTGTTCGAGCAACTTAAAATTATTTGTATCAGTTAAAAGACAGAGAAGAGCTTCACCCAGAGGTGTCAAACGTAGTTTCGCTTGATCGATACGTATGAGTCGATGGCGCTATTTGTCCAAACATGAAGTTAGTTTTAATGCTGTTAAAATGCATGTAAAACGAAATGGAATGTTTAATTCAGAATCATGATGTTATGTAGTATACTGGCATGCTATATTTTTTCTACAACCTTCAATTTTGATGAGAAATATAATGGTACATCAAATGAAACAGTGTAACGTGATGACAGCGTATTTGACGGCAGATTCGACAGCAGTTCAAAGGAATATAGAAAAATGTTAAAAATTAGTGTTCTAATATATGAAATTTAAATGTAAAATTTTTGCTGATCAGGTCAGTTGGACATTTAGCTGATTGTCCTTTGATGAACTGTTTAGTCTGACATTGCTTCGACGTATTTATCCATCACTTGAGAGATGGCTTTATAATACATTTTGAAATGGTTGTTATAATACAGTAGATCAGCTATATATGTACGGTGACTGCATACATAGTAGCGAACATCTTTCAAATAAAGGAGGGTATGTTAGTTATTATTGGTCCGATTCGTAAAGATGTCGTATTTAAAAATATACGTAATAACGTTGCCAAAAGGACTTTAACGTATATCTTCGTTATTATTGGTCCGAATTTTGAGTGATACAATGAAAGTAAAATATGTTTACAGTGTTGCCAATTGTACTATTATTTTATAATACATTGATACGGACTGAAAAGGAGGGAGAGAAGATATTCTCGTTTACGTGAACGATGGTCGGCTACTGCGCATGAGTCCATACATAGCTGATTTACTTAAAATTACAGCTCTTTCCAATTTAAATAGAGTTCATTTTCTGATTAACGCCGCATATACCATACATTTCTGCGATTTTCACACATAACGCATCTCTAATTCGCAAAACAAAAGCAACAAAATGAAAATGATAAAAAACCAAAAATAAAATATATTTTTCCAATAAAATCGAAATAAAAAAAATAGATAACACTATGATGATTAACTGTTTTTAAAACTATGAAGAAAAAAAAAAAAAAAAATAACAAGAAAGCTCTTCCAAGCAACACGCAACGTTACTGTCGCAGCCAACAAACGTGTTCCTGGCAATCTAAACTGTGAAGCATTCTTCTTCTGACGCTAGCCCTCTTTTCCGAGGCGAAAGCCGCCCGTCTTCTAACGACCCCCCTCTTATCGGGAGGCGCTCTTCTCTTATCTAAGGCCGAGGGGCAACCGGCGCTACAGCACAGGGAGATTCGCTTACCTGGAGGAGGCTGGACCGGAGCTCCCGTATACCTGAAGTACGGATTCTTCAAGTCCAACGTGTTCTGCGACGTCTGCGTGGTGCCCTCTACCGTCAGCTCGATCGTGACGTCGTAACTTTGGCGTTTGTTGGCCAATAGCACCACCCTGCCGGTCAGGACTTGGCCCTGTTTGAGCAGAAGTGGTTGTTCCAATAAACACCTGTAAACGAATCAATATATAGAAATGAGACTACACCAATCTTGTGGAAAAGTTTAATATTTGCATTCCCAGAATTTCTTCCAGACACCCGAATACTTTTTATGTAAATACATCTCGCACAAATGTTCTGGAAAATTCTCCACTCCATACCATGTGTTGCAATTTGTCAGATATAAAATCCCACTTTTAACTTAGTTAATTTGTTACCTATTACGAAATACAAGTTCTTTTTATGAGCTTAACATTCAAATAAAAAATCTGTGATTTATTAATAATTATACTCTTTTAATTCCTGCTCTGTAATTGAGTTTATGACCTGTAGAGAATTGTATTATAAATAAATAAATAAATTCAGAATGATGTAAAAAGAATATGTTTTTAATATATTTCATTTATTTAATGTTAGATTTATTGTACCGACCTTTTATAATGTATTTAAGCTATTTTATGTAATTTATGTATACTAATGAATCTTTTCCAAATATACATTTATTTAATTAAAGAAGTTGATATTTTTAAGTGTGGCTCTCAAATATAATGACCCTACGATTTTTAATATCTACAAAAAGATATCGAATTTTTCCACAAGATTAGTATACCCCATGTTATTTTTGAATCACACGTAAAGAGATTTCATTTAAATTGGCATGACAGCCCGCACACTCACCTGACTTGGTACCAATGGGTGAGCGGCTCCGTGGGGGCCGTACTCAGCCAAATGGTTTGTTGGGAACCGCCGAAGGCGACGTCGAACCAAAACGCCAGACCGTGGCAGGTGCCCGATTCTAAAATGTGAAATTCTAGTGGTATGTCGATTGTGTGAAGATCAGTCTCATCTGTTTCTAGGAAATCTACTACGTGTCGAATGGATTTGCTCATACAGATCCTGAAAGTGAATAAAAAAGTTCACAATAAAGTAGAATTCCCTTAATGTAGTTACAAGCTTTGACTAGGTATGTTACAATATTTCACATTAAATAAAACAATAAACAAATGATCAAAATAAATATCCCCCTATAGGCCACGCAGTGGCGTCGATACTTATAAAGGGGTCTATTCTGTAACACATCCGTTAAAATTTAGAGGCCTTTAAAAATTAAACTTTTAGCGACCCGTTAATTTTTTTAAGAAAAAATAGTATTCTTTATACACAAATTGTAGAGGCCTGTTAAAAATTATTTATTTTAACGGATTCCCTTAAAAATGGCATCGCATATAAGATTTATTTGAACAAGTTTGAAAACATAACCATACAAATCCTCAATTTTCAATTCAAAACCGTTAAAAATGATTATTATTTGAGGACTATTTTAAAGGAATCCGTTTAAATAATGACAGATGTAAGTTAGTGAATATGAAAATATTTTTAAAGGCCGCCAATATTTTAACGGCCGTTAAAATATAAAGGAATTGTTACAGAATAGACCCCAAAGTATACAAAAAAATGTGGCAGGTTAAAAAATAATCAAAATATTAAAAAAGGGAGAACTATATTAAAGGAATCAAATATTTACTTGCAAATTTTGTCAGATAAAATTCTGGTTCCAAATACACATGTTATTATACTTAAAAAAATTCGACTAAATGAACCATATACAAAATTAGCCATGCAGTAAATATAGGTTGAATATTTAGAAGTGCTGTCCCTTTGTTATCAAAGTACTTTCAAGAATTAAATGGCTACCTCGTAACAAAGTAGCTGAACATTTCCCAATAGCATTTAGAATCAGGTATTTTAACACATAAAATCGTTATTTGTGACCAAATAACTAGCCATTGCCAGGGAATCAATTTGGGACAAATTGTCTGACACACTAAGAATGCAGTATGGCCAGACATATGCAAAGTATTTCTAATGGGATACCGACACACTGTGTTGCTGTAGTTCCGATAGATGTGACAGGATCGGTAAAGTAGTATTCAATGGTATTAGACCACGTATTCTTGGTTGCATATAGGAAGACAGTTTGTTCTTCTTAATGTCTAATTGGACAACTTTCTGCAGAAAGGAAGCAACCCACAAATTTGTGATTATAGCATTTGAATTTACTATGCAAAGATCTGCGGCTCATTTTCGGCGGCTGAAATTCTGCCTAATGTGGTGCTAGCTTAAGAATTTATATTGGACATATGTCGTAGGCTTATTATAAAATCAGTCTTATTATAATACGTCTAGGCTTTTTCAATACGACTAGGCATATCCCAATACTGCTCAAATAATTAAGAATCTCACAATTTGACTGATAATTTCAGGCGTATCATAATAAGCCTGCCGCTTGTTAGTATTATTATTAAATTGAACCGACGCGCATGTGTTTTAGAATCCGACTAGATTTAATCCGTCGTATTATAATACGACTGACAATGTACCAGGCGAATTGCAATCATCATTGTTGTTGAGTTGATTAAATGTTTTTAATTTTTTTGTACCTGCCTAATATTTGTGCAAAATATTAATGGCTTCTCAAATCGATAGTTTTCGAGGGATAAAATAACTGACTGCCAAACAAATGAAATAAATAACATTCCACAAGTAAAAGCAATTACTTTAAGAGAAATTCTAAGGTTATTTTCAAAATTCGATGGACAGGAATTTAAAAAGTGTTCTTGCAAGCCAAGCAAGACACAGTGATATAGCAATAAATGTTTGTTTTAAAGCTCGTATGAAATCTACTAGCAAATGTCAAAAAAGCGGACCATGCTGTAATAAATAATCCTAAACTATTATTTGTATTTTAATTTTAAATAGTTTAGAATGTTTAAAATCAATGATTAAGTATAGTTCGCATAGCACACCGTCATGCGTCAATCGTATTATAAACACGATTCGCCTGGCACATCGTCAGTCGTATTATTATACGACGGATTTCATCTAGTCGAATTCTAAAACACTTGAGCACCTGTTCAATTTAACAATAAGACTAACAAGCGACAAGCCTGAAATGATCAGTCAAATTGTGAGATTCTTAATTATTTGGGTAGTATTCTAATATGCCTAGTCGTATTGAAAAAGCCTAGGCGTATTTAACTTTTTTTGGGGGTTGGTTCAGTTGAGATTGATTTCTTACCTGAAACATGGAGTTTAAGAAATTCAAACGCGGACAAATGGTTCATGCGAGTGCGATAATTGTGATTTTGAATATGATTTTTTATTTAGTCAATGACGATAAATTGAGTGTGACTGCAGCAGTAAGTCGAGCTTTCAAAATGTATTTATTTATTATACGGGAAACTCCTATTATAATACTATAATGATACAAACCTATTGAGATCTATTTGTTTTTTAAAAGAAAATAGTTTGACTGTAAAATCAATATCTTACTCATTAGCGTTTCTGACCATTCTTGACAAAGGACTAAAATACCCATAATTTGTTGATTGAAAGGACACAATAAACAAGTCTTTGTTTCTCGTACACCTTTGAGCAATACGGAATTGAATAAGTTGAAGCAGTCTGATTGAGAATACCTGCCAACTATATCAGCCGTTCGTTCCCGTTTTGTTTTTGTTTTAATTTTTTTTGGGTTTCACAACCAAGAGGGTGAGCGTTGAAATATTTTATTTGGTTAAACCCAAAATCAATTTAAGTTAATCTACGAAATTCCAGCGATTCTAAATTCAATGATCTCTGAATATCCTTATACTCATATTTCTCATGTCTTAATCTCAATTTGTATTAAAAAGGTTTCAAACTCGGCAACCCATATTCAAGAAGGGATCCGACATATGCAGAATATACTACTTTGACTGAATATATTAAGAGACCACTAGAGTTTCTCAGTATAAATCCAAGAGTTTTTAAAGCTTTACCAGTGAACTGATTAATATATAGGTTAAATGTCAGATTCTCATAAATCTTTCATCAAAGATTATTTTGTTGAGCACGTAAAGTTTTAAGTCATTTGCAAAAAATAGAAACTTGGAATATTTGAAAATACTACCAATGTCATTGATGAATAGTAGAAACAACAAGGGTCCTAAGTGAGAGCCACAAGTAACGTGCTTTAATCATTACTTGTGGTTGTAAAGAATTTCTCACTGCTGAAAAGTAAGGGGGAAGTAAATTGGGGATTAGTAACCTCAGTAATAGTCAAGGTAATGTTGACACATATATTGGTTTAACTATTTACAATTAAAATAAAATATTTCAACGCTCACCCTCTTGGTTGTGAAACCCAAAAAAATTAAAACAAAAATAAAACGGGAACGAACGGCTGATATAGTTGGCAGGTATTCTCAATCAGACTGCTTAAACTGGATACGGTAAAGGGGTCGCGTATACAAAAAAAAATTGTATTCGTAAATCTCAGACTAAGGTCAAAATTTAAATCTCGGATAGTAGAAATTTAAAAATTTAAAATTTACGGTAATTTTCTTACATCACAAAGAAAAATAAACACATAAATCAGGGATAGTATGTATTTAAAAATTTAAATTTACGGCAATTTTCTTAAATCGCAAAGAAAAATCAAAATGGAAATTAAGGATAGTATAAATTTAAAAAAAAACAACATGACAAATAGTGAGTAATATAAATGGCAAAAATAACCTACATACTATACAAATACCGGGGGAGGCGTCAACAGTAGCAAACAATTTTATGACTTTTCTTGAAAAGTCAATAACAGATGTAATCTCTGGCCTAAGTAATAGTAATTATGTAAGTACAAGATCTAGTAACTTAAAGTCTATATATGTAATACCATTAAACTGCAATGGAAATTGTAGAGATTGGAAAGAAATTCAAAAATAAGACGAGTAGTGGTATACAGTATGGTTCAAATGAAAGGAATAAATTCATTATAATGGAAGTAGTTGGTTTTTCGAAAAAATGCTCGGACAGGTCAATTTTGATTACTCAAAGCGCAATTTTTTAAATAGAATTCAATTTTCCCCCACTTCCTGTTTTTGGGCAGTGACGTCATTAACAATTTTTTTAAATAGTAACCCCAATTTTTTTTTCTTGATTTTGAAAGATTTTGCAATTTCCTACTCGGAAACATAATATTTGAAATATCTGACATAAATTTTTTTTTGAATAAAAGTCACTTAAAGATCATATACATAAATTTTATTTTACACAATAAATGAATAAAAGATTTTTTGTAATTGTGCTTCATCTAATAGAATAATAATAATTAAAATAATTTAATGCCAATTTCACAAATTCTTTTTTATTATTATTATTATTATTATTAATATTTTGTTAGATTAAGCACTTAATTACAAATAATTATCTTATATTCATTTATTGTGTTCTCAAAATAAAATAAAATTTATGTGTCTGATCTTTAAATGACTTTTATTCAAAAAAAATGTTATGTAAGATATTTCAAATATTATGTTTCCGAGTAGGAAATTGCAAGATCTATCAAAATCAAGAAAAAAAAATTGGGGTTACTATTTAAAAAAATTGTCAATGACGTCACTGTCCAAAAATGGGAGGTGGGGGAAAATTGAATTCTATTTAAAAAATTGCGCTTTGAGTAAACAAAATTGACCTGTCCGAGCATTTTTTCGAAAAACCAACTACTTCCATTATAATGAATTTATTCCTTTCATTTGAACCATACTGTAGATGAGGTACCAACAAAAATTATTAAAAAATGTATTGAGCAAATTGTGAATTCACTAGGATATATAATAAATAACTTTTTTCGATTTGGGGTGTTTCCTGATCAATTAAAAATAGCCTGCATAGTACCCGTTTTCAAAAAAGGTGGAGAACTACAGATCAAATAGCTTTTTAAATTCTTCCTCAAAAATTTTTGAAGCAGCAATGTGTAAAAGGGTATCAGAATTTGTTATGACCTGTAACTTATTAAGTAAAAATCAACATGGTTACCAGCATGGGAAATCTACTCAAACGGCAATTTTCGAGTTTGT